CAGTTTATAGAAAATGTTAAAAGATATACTTTTAGTTCGCCAAGACTAAACCACACAAAAACGTATGCTTCGCAAGTGAAAAGCGCCCCTTTGTTTTGTTATGCAAATTCGCAGTATCATTACACTGACGCACAATAGTACCGTTCTGAACCACAAACGCAGGGATTCTTGAGCTGGGTGTTTTTCACGCTCTCATTATCCATTCAGCGCCACACTCTTCGACTGGCCAAGAAGACGGGACGTATTTCCTTTCACTTGAGTAAAGCGGACACGGACAGAGTTTCTTGGTTCGGATGAGACGGCGACCGGGTTCAGATATTCGGTGAGACCTTGCTGTTTATCGTTCTCATAATAACAAAAAAGCGATACGAATACCATACTGTGAAGATGACAGCGATTCTGTAAAGTGTAAACAAGTTTGTTGGCTATTGTCAAACTGTTTTTATCTCGGACTCAAAGTTTATGAATAGATGTGGGAGACAATTCACAATTACCTTTATGAATACTTTTTTGTGTTGAAGGGCGCGTAATTGTTTTCAGTTACATGTTTTGATTACACAATAGGCTACTAGTCGAGTTGAAAAGGCTGAATGGTGTATTGCCCCAATATCAATGAAAATTGAAATAATAACGGAGGCTCTTATCCAAATTCAACGTTTTTATCCGTATGCTCTTATCCCGCATACGTTTGGGCGGGGCTACTTATTAGGCTAAAGAATCATAAAGTTTTTTTTTTTTTTTTTTTTTTTTTTTTTGTGAGCAGTAATTTACACTATTTTGAGTAATTCCATTATTATTAGGTTTTTGTACAAGATGAGGGCCTTGTTGTATAACCAGCCTTGCATTATTGTCTAATTAAGTTTTTACAGTTGTGCAACTGGAAACTACACACTGGCATAAAATATAGCAGAAGCAAATATTACATAGCTGCATAATATATAATAAATTGGTTATTCATTACATCATCAAAACTTCTTTGTACATTTTGCTAAATTATTTAGGGGTGAAAAAATAATTATGTTTAATACATCGACAGAACCCTCATTTGTCTTGCTTATGGGGACAGCACCGACCGAGGTAACCCAACTGAAGTTGGGAAAGCTGAAAGTGGCACGCCAGAGGTTGCTACAGCGTTATGAGCACCAGCTCTTTGTCTCCTGTCTAGCTGGACTCTACGGCTGCCAGTGGAGACGTTTCCAGCGCACACATGCTCAGCCTGGACACTGCTGCTGCTCTAAGGTGCTCTCATTCAAACTCACAATGCACATGCTCAGAACATAACAAATTAAGCTGTTAACTTCACTTGTACAAGTCCACCTGATCAAAACAAATAATAACCTTTACAGAATGAGTAGGCTCAATATACACTGGCCTTTTTTCTCACAAACATTGCTTACTGTTAAGTTTTGTGTTCTTTTTGTAATTATTATTGTAATATTTAGGTCAGGTTTAAAATCCAATGATAGTTAGCTAGATGTATGTGTTATGTAATGGCTTAAAAACTGTTTTGCAGCGGGAGTGTTGCAGTTTTGCTCTGATCGTTCTGACCTTTTGTCTCAGTCTGGTGTTCCTGTACTTTTGGAGTGAAGCACGGAATGACTACAATGACTTTGACTGGTTTGTGTCACATAAAAGATATATTTTAAATGATTCATTGACTTCTTTTGGTAGCACATTACTGTTCATTTTGTTTAAACAAAGTTGGTTTTAATGTGGAACAGTGCTTTAGTTAATTAGACAGAAAATAAATAATTCGAGCGGAATGTATAATTTATTAAAAGCCTCTCAACTTAGGTAATTTAACTGAGAGATACACTAAAGTAATATTTCACTCTCTTTGTCTCCAGGTTTAATTTTGGAAATCTGGGCTTCTGGTTTCCATGGTCTATTGTGTTGTTGATTCTTGCTGTTTTTCTGTTCACTTATGTTGCTGTTCTACTGGTATGTGCTGTACGAATACTCATTCTCATTACTACAGTTTTGACCTAATTTCTTTACAAAGCCCCACAGTCATGTAATCACTATTATAGATTATTTTAGACGTGACATATTAAATCATATTATTGTCAATGTGGTTTGCTTTTTAAGCTTTAAGTCACCATAACAAGTTACTAAAAGGTCCATTTGATAATTTGCTGGTAAGACATATTATAATATTCACAGCTGCTGGCAGTTTGTCTTCTCTCAGAAGGCCAGAGGTTATATTTACATTGGTGTCACAAGGTAACTTCAGCTCAACTATGTAACTACTGAAAGTCTTTACAAAGATAATTTATGGTTCACACTTGTGACTGAGGAAATCTCTTCTGATAGATCGGGATCTCAGTGACTTTGATTCTCTCCATTGTGGCCTCATCTGTTCTCACAGATTTATGGAGCAAGGAGTGGAAGACTGTGCTTTTATCTTTTCAGGCAGGTTTATTATCTACTACTACTATATAATATTGATATTGGAGTAAATTCACTGTGATATTTTTATTTAAAGTTCCCAATTCCCATTTGCCAGGTATCTGCCCCATATCTACACATTGGTGGTGTAGTTTTAATGACTCTATTGTCTTGGCCGGTAGGCTTTCATCTCTTCCGGCTCAATATCAGAGGTAAGAAATAGAATGTGTTTAAATATATTACGCACAGGGCCACACAATATAGCAAGTACTGACCATCTCTGAAAACAACCACAAGTAGTGCAGTTCATCTCTTAAACAGGCATTTGACTGAAAAAAACAAACAAACAAAAAAACATTAATGGTCCATACAGGGCACACAAAATCCAAACCTTTTCACACAAATTTTATTTTTATTTGCCAAAAATGGCAGACATGTAACACCTTTTGCTTAACATTAAGTCAGTTTTGTTTATAAAGCCCAATATCTAATCAGCCTCCAAACAACATCCTTGATCGAACACTTGAAAATACTTCCATTTATTTATAAATCATTAGAAAGGTCTAAAGTTTTATTATAAGTATTGATTTATTATGCGAAATAATCTGTTGCTTGTCAAATGCACATTATAAGTGACTCAAATTCACAGCGCTTCCAAAGATGGAACAGCATTTCCTGCAAACCAATCAATCCTCTCTGATCTCAGTGAATTTCGAGTTAAAGGGATAGTTCACTCAAAAATGTTAATGTTGTTATTACTTACTCACCCTCATGTTGTTTCAAACCTGTATGAGTATCTTTCTTCTGTTGATCACAAAAGCAGATATTTGAAAGAATGTTAGTATAGTAACCAGACAGTTAATGAGCTTCATTGGCTTCCATAGTATTAGTATCTATACAGGTTATACACATGTGCTACTGTGGTAAATGTATTCATTGCACAGACTAATATTTTATACATGTAAATATGTAACTGTACAGCCCTCATCACGGATAAAATCATTTTCAAAATATTTGTGAAAAAAGGAAAGACATACTTTAAAATATAGCACCACACTGATGCAGCTTATGTCAGAGAAAGTGCATATTATTAATGTGAGTTCATATGTGCATTTGTCTATTTAAGTGAGACGGATGGCCATGATGGTGCTGTATATAACTCTTCTAGTGACTCTTTACCTGGTTCCTCTGGGCATGCACTCACCCTGCATTAAAGAGAGGAGAACTCTGGGATCAGCTCCTGCTTTAATTGGACACAGGGGAGCGCCAATGGTTCACTTCATTCTTCTTCTTAGGCTTTTCAGATTCAAGCACTAACATTTGAATATTAATTAGGCTAAAATACTTCTTCTTTCCAAGTTTAATGTGATTTATTAGTTTAGTATTTCCAAAACAATTATTATATCAAGACTGTAGTAGTACAGAATGTACCATATTCAGACTGAAGAAAAAAGCAATTCCTCTGTGATATCTTTTCTCAGCTTGCCCCTGAAAACACCTACATGTCTTTTGAGAAGGCATTGGCTGCTGGAGCTGATGGTCTGGAGACAGATGTCACTATCAGGTCAGCTCCATAGAAAGCCTTTGTTATTTAAAATAGAAAAAAGTCCTCTATGACATTGTTTTGTCTCTTCCTGCAGTTATGATGGAGTTCCTTTCCTCATGCACGATAAGAACCTACGCAGGACAACTAATGTAAAAGACGTGTTTCCTAACTGGACACACACCTCACCTGCCATGTTTACGTGGAAAGAGCTGCAGAGTCTCAACGCTGGATCCTGGTTCTTCTCTGTTAGGCTGCGGGAAGCTTTTTAACTCTTGGAAAAAATAATTAGTTGTTATCTAGATTATATTTTTGTTGCTTAAAACCACCTTTAAACATTAATCAAAGAGAATTATTGTTTCCCACTCAGCAAGATCCCTTTGGAACAGCTAGATTTCTGAGCGCAGATGAGCGCTTACAGGCTCAGAATCAGTCTGTGTGCACACTGAGGGCCTTTCTGGATCTGGCTGCTCAATATGGGAAACTTGTAATCTTTGATCTGTACCGGCCGCCCAGGGGTCACCCTTATAGAGATTCCTGGATATACCGCACCCTGGATGTCATCCAGAACGAGTCATCCATTCACTCCAGTCAGGTGTGCCATTACATTGTTGCATTTTGGCAAAGTTTAAAAGGTGAATTTTGTATAGATTGTGGTTTTTGTGAATTTTTTTAAATATATAGATTATATATTTTTATTGCATTTTTACCTAGGTACTGTGGCTGCCTCCAGAGCTCAGGGAGTTTGTACAAGAAATGGACCCTGATTTGCAAAAGACAGCAGGCGAACAAGCATCAGTGGAGGAACTTCAGCTCAGACATATAGCCAGACTCAACATCCATTACAGTTCTATGTCAGAGAAAGAAATCAGGTTAAAGAGATAAGCCATCCATCCATCCATCCCCTGAGCACCAAATCAGCACATTAGAATGAGTTCTCATGGATCAAGTGACACTGTAAACTTGAGCCAAAAATGTAGCTTTGCCATCACAGGAATAAATTACATTTTAAAATGCATGAAAACAGAAAAGAGTTATTACAGTTTTTACTGTTACTTGGGGAGCATACAATACCCCAAAAATTATCTATATAATATATGCCACATACATTTCATGCATTGTGTCTTACCTTGTATCAATAACAGAAAATACGCTGCTGCCAACATCAGCACCAACCTGTACGTGATCAGCGAGCCATGGCTGTATTCTCTAGCCTGGTGTGCAGGGGCTCATTCTGTCGCCACGAATGCTGTTCACATCCTCAAGAACCTGCAAAGACCGCTCTTTCTCATGGTAAATGACACGCATCTACAGTTGTCAGGGATTTGTTAATCTTCTCATTCAAGAGTTTTTTCCTGTGGTTTTCCTCTCTCTCTCAGACACCAGACGAGTACATGCTTATGTGGACTCTTACTGACATCACTTCCCTTCTTATCGTTGTGATTATTTTTGTATTTCACTGGTGAGTGTGAGCACAGAATTTACATCATTTCACTTTGACTGTGAACATTTAGCTTCAATCCGAAAGCACTCTGTACTCCATAAAAAAAGGCAATTTGTAGGCTATCAATCATGGTGTATTCCAGGTGGAGGGAGCGTGGGTTGGCTCGCCGTGTGGACAGCAGTTCATTACTTGAACATGGGTACTACAGACAGTTCAGGACAGGTAAGAGGCATTTAATACTGTAAACCACTCCTTAAGGCAAATTAATGAACAGTAATCTGAGGAGTAATCTGATCATGTTTCATGTTCCCATGAACAGAGGTGAATGATGTGTGGTCTTTATCCAACATGAGCAGCCCTGAGAAGCAGGTACCATCTCTCTGAAGAGCCTGATTAAAACTGTTGGTTCATATTTAACCCCTTATATTAAAAAAACAACTAACTGATGTTCAGTTAAGCCAGTTTAAACCACAGTTTAAGTGGTACATTTAAATCACCCTTACAATTTTATAAATTCTAATTGTCACAAAATGTCTTATGACAGACATGTGTGCTGATATGATGGGATACATACAGTTAACAAATGCTCGTGACTGATCTTATAGTCCAGGCAAAGTAGCATTTTACGACAGACATTAAATTATTTTTTTGCAGCTTAAATCATTTCTATTAGGTGTCCAGAAAAACATACTAAAAGTCTTTGAGAAATCCTAGTTGAGGAAATATGTTTTTGTGCCAATAAGACCAGGCAACAATACACCCCAATGGGGCTATTTGTTTCATTTACTCCTATCAAAATTAAACTTTACACAATGAAAGTACTGTTGTGAACTTTTTTCTTCTAAAGTGTAGGAAACTCAGAAGCGAAGACCAGGAGACTTCCTAGCAAACAAATTTAGGTTCTGAGAACGTTCTGGAAATGTTAGATTTTGGTTCCCAGAACGTACCTAGAACTTTCCCTTAAGGTTAATGGAAAGTTCCCGGAACGTTCTCCTTGCGTTATAAAAATGGAACCTAAAAATAACCTACATGGAACATTCCTATAACGTTCTTGTTTGGTTCCCAAAAAAATAACCTCATGTGACCATTCGGAAATGTTAGGGGAACGTTCTGTGTTTGCTGGGTTAGTTGTATCTTCAGCAAGATTCTTTATTGAGGACTGCAGTCCTTGTCAAGTCTGCTTCGTCCAAAAATCTAAGCCTAGTCTGACTAAACTAAAATACAGGCTGTTTGTATACCTTACTTGGGGGAGGTGTTACATAGAGGTAGAGACACTCTGAAACAAAGCATGTAAATTAATTATACAGGTTTAGAAACCTGCCCAAGACTGAGAGTAATACCAATGCTGATAACAAAATATTCCCTTGTTAAACAAAAATGTTACTTTTTATGTATACATTTACTGTGTGAGGTTTGATTGTGATAGGGGTAAAGGAAAAAATAAGCTCATTAGGGTGTATTTTGGGCATATTTGATTAGTATATTGTTCATTTGCATAATAAAATTCATTTCAAAGAAACTTGAAATACATTTTTTTTTACTTTTCATGGATACTTTCATTGTAATCTCGGATTGATGAGAATTACACATATTTCCTCAACTAGGATTTCTTAGGACTTTTATGGATCTGGACACCTCATTATTCTATTTTTGTCTCCAAAATGAGTTACTTTGCCTGGATATCTACACCTATACACCACTTTGCCAGGGCACCTACGTCTACCTCTGACTTTAGATTGTCATTCGAGTTAATGCATTTCACAAGCCTCAGGCTTTTCTTAAAGGTTTCCATTTTGAGCATGAACGAAAATGTGTCATGTTGATGAAAAGTATCAGAAAAGTTTCCTTCATTTAAATATTAGCGTATCCATTTATTTTATGTTTTTTTATTTAAAACCATTGTAATGGTTTTGTTTGAAACATTACTCCCAGAGAGGACCCTGATTGTGTAAGAATCTTAAGTCATAAATAATTGTTGTGCTAATGTTTTGTTCTTTTTGTCTTGTTCTAATTTAATGTAGGATTCTCAATCAATATTAAGTCACAAAATATCATTCTGTGTAAAGAGTATTTAGTTATTGCAATATGATCAGTGTCTGTCTGAAATCATGATGTCGGTAATCTAGTTTTTCAGTTTTTAAACTGATATTTGCTCTTTAATTTTTTTTTTCATTAAATCACATACTTTTTACTCAAATGTGAAAACTGTTACAATCTTGTTATTTTTTTATTATTTGAAGTCTGATTAAATTCTGGCAAGAGTATATTGTTGTACATTGAGTTTTCTAGATTCTACAAAATCTTATACAAACTACAAATAGTGTTAGATAAACAATATAAAAATAGTTTTTGCTAAATGAAATAAAGCTGAAATAAAAATGAAAAATTGAAATTTTCCTTGGCAACTAACTGCAATAAAATATGTTTAACCTGAAGCAATAAAATGACTTAATCTAAAAATGAAATAAAAATAAAGTCAAGCAAAATAAAAACAAACAATAGTAATAACAGACAAAAGTGCATAAAAATGACAAAAACTAAAATCAAAATGGAAAATATAAAAATAAAAGCTGATTCAAAATATGAATAAATACTATAATACCAATATATAAATAATACATTTATTATTATTATTTAGTAATACATTAATAATATGTTTAGTGTTTAGTGAACAGATCTACTTTAAAACTAAATATAGGGTTTTACATGTTGCATTCAAGGAATCTAATTGTCATGATCATAAATCAAATCATTGATCAATGAGAATAACAAATTACATGAACCTCATTAAAATAGCCAAGTCATCTAATATATATTTATAAACAGCAGCTTCAAACATAATAAAATGAGAATGACCAATTAAAAACTAAAAATTAATGGGTAACGCTTTACAATATGGTCTCGTTTGTTGACGTGAGTTAATAAAAATACACTCATTTATTGTAAGTTCAGTTAACAGTTTATTTACTAATGTTAACACAAACATTTGATTTTAATAATGTATTAGTAAATGACAACAACATTAAATTTAAATCAAAATGAACTAAGAATAATAAATGCTATCAAAGTATTGTTCATTCTTAGTTCATGTTAACTAATGTAATTAACTTATGTTAATGAAAACTTACGTAAAGTGTTACCAGTTAATGCACATATATAAAAAAAGAATAAATAAATTAAACTGTCTTTAAAGATTGAATCATTTATCCTGAATATATTGTGCAGAAAAAAAAGAATGATTATGGCCATATATATATACTGATCATTTAATTTATAAAATACATTTTAATACATATCTCTACAATACCTGTTCAAAGATTTACAAAGGAAGAGAAACACAATTCAGAAAAAGTAACAAAAGGATCTTTTTCGACTGAATTAAATGTTGCTGTCATTGATTTAGTAAAATGACATTTATGTACCAATAAAAGTGCTTTAAAATGACTAGGATGAGAACCAAGTGTTGTCTTAAAGCTAAGTCTTAAGCTAAGAAGCAAACCCAAATATCGCAACATTTCTAAATCTTTATAATGCATTTAATTGGCAACATGAGATGTGCAAATCATCCACAAATTGAATAACTGAAATCAGGAACTTGAACTGACTTTTAATTCGGTGTCAGAGTAAAAACCATTTGAGGGCCTACAACTTAAAGGCAACAAGTTTGTTGACTGTCAATGAAACATGTCCTTCATTGACATTAAAATACTATAGAAACGCTATAAAATAAATTAAACTTGCAATTTACAATTAAGGCTCCGGTATGAAAAAGTAACAACACTAAAAGCAGATTTAGTTTATTCTCATGTATCAAAATTATGGATCTAAGAAAAAGTGAGAAGTCTGTAAACTGCCTATTCCAAGCCTTTTGTGTTACTGGTTTCCACGTGAACTGCGCTGCTTGGTCATGGTAGTCAACATCTGACTGATGTAAGAGGTGAGAAGGTCATCCATCTTGTATCCCTGAGAATAGTTGGACGATTAAATAATGTATTATTTAACCACACAGCAAAGTATGATTATAAATCATCTGGAGCATTTGTGTCACCATGGTATTACCATCTGATACCATCACTGTATCATTGTACCACCACAGTATTATATGTAAGGCAGTGTTTCCCAACCCTGTTCCTGGAGGCACACCAACAATACACATTTTGGATGTCTCCCTTATCAGCGTATTAGTAGATATTCCAAGAACCGAAAAGGATTGATCATCAGATGAGTTGAATCAGGTGTGTTTGATAGGAGGAGATTGAAAAGTGTACTGTTGGTGTGTCTCCAGGAACAGGTTTGGAAAGCACTATATTAAGGGATGACTGACTCACCAGTGATGTCTCACACAGCAGTTTGCTGCCTCTAACCAGGTTACCAATGGTAATGTGGAAATAGGTATGTCCACTACTCCAGTTGGAGATTTTGGTGAAGGGATGAGTGCCCAAAATGTCCTGCAGACAAATGAGTAAATGGCATTCAAACAATATCCAAAAGGTTTTTACAAAAGTATATAATAAAAGTTTTGTTGTTGACGCGAATGATGAAAAAATGGCAGTTGGCTTTATGTCACAGCAACGCAAGTTTAACATAAATATTTAAATGAGCAAAATTATCAAATACACTTAATTCCATACAATAACCATTCCAACGTTTGGGGTCAGTAAAAAAGGAATTAAAGCAATTAATACACAATTAAGACTCATTACATTGTTTTAAAATTACAGTAAAAAAAAATTATAATAAGTTTTCAACATTGATAATAAGAAGAAATGTTTCTTGAGCGCCAAATCTGCATATTAGAGTGATTTCTGAAGGATCATGTGACACTGACGACTGGAGTAATGATGTTGAAAAATCAGCATTACCATTATATAACTAAATTACATTTTAAAATGTATAAAAATGTACATTTTTAACATTTCACAATACTGTTTTTACTGTCTTTTTAATCAAATAAACCATAAGACATTTCAAATACATAAAAAAAACTTACTGACCCCAAACTTGAACATTAGTGTATGCAGTAAAGTTAGCACTTTAGGCTAAAATGACAATATATTAAAGATACCGCTTATTTACCTAACATTATTCTGGGCAGTGTGTACACCTACCTTTGTTTTCGGGTCAATAAGAGTAACTCCAAGTTTGTTGATCGCTATCAAAAGGACTTCTGGGAAATTTGTATCTGAGGATTGCTGTGGACGAATATCAAACATCATCGAGCCAGATGTAGTTTATTTGACAAAAAATAACACATCAAATACTATAATTGAGGAAAATGTCATTTTGTTTGCCCGACATTTTGGTAAATCAACATTGTGACAAACTTGCCTTGACTTCAAAAAAGGCAGATCCAAAAGTTGGCCACTTATAGATGATTTCTAGAAACATCAGTTTTGCTTCCTCTCGAGATTTCCCTGCATGGCTATTGAAGTATGTGACGACAGGCTGCAGAAGAAACAAAGACGTGCACATTCACAGCATTCACTTCTTGTCATAACTGAAGGTCTGAAGTAGGACCAGCGTTGCTGACTCACCCGTTTCCAGTCGTCGGGTGAGAGCTGACGGATCAGGTCCTGAGGAACGAATTCCTTCAGCATCTTGGTGAAGTTGAGAAACTGGGATTTGTCCTCCTCAAACCTCACCCTGTAAATCAGCGCAGCCAACTGGAAAGCCTCTTCAAGACAGCACTTGTGGTAGCCACGCAGGTACTTTGGGAGCTCCTGAAGAAGAGTTTATGAAGAAGCAAGAGTGTGATATGTTTAAAAGTGAGCCTATATGCACAGATTGACTACAGAGAGAGAGATTTCCACCTGGAAGTAATGGAAAATGGAGTCGGCCATGGGATCTTTGCCTGGAATGGTGTTGGTCCACAGTTTCTTCATGTAAAACACTTGATAGGTCAGTGAAGGCACTGTGCCTACAGAACGAATAGAAGCATTAACACCCCTCATGGTTTTTACACTCAAAATATTGATCATTTTTTCAGAACAATAAACATAAAATCACCATCTTTCACAGCTCTGGCTTTTTTAATCCAGTCTGTCAGATGTCGAACAAAGTCGAAGAAAAAATCTCCTTCTGGCACACTGATCACCTGAAACGTTTTAAACCAGTACTGATAAGACATCTGAAAAAAATATCTGAACAGACATTTGACACCTTTGTAACCTCACCTTGTCAGAAATTTTGACAAACAAGCTGAAGCCCTCAGAGGATTGGAGCATCATTCTACCAGCGATGTTCAGACAGAAATCTTTGGCTTTTGTGCTTGATTCAACCTCAAAAGCCTTTGAAAAAGGATAGTAGAATATAAAAGACACTGTTTCAGTCAATGGGTTATGGGGGAAATTCATTTTTGGGACCAAAAGCCTGAGTGTAAATGCTTTTATTGCACATCCATTCATCCATCCTCATTGATTCACGTAGCTAAATTGTGTATTTGGTGTTTTTTATACTGTATTGCATTGTGAAATACATTCCATGTCTACTTATATATTTTTTTTTTATATAAAAGTGCAGGCCATAATTTTTCAACTATATTTAATCCAAAAAAGATGTGAGTCTCTGGAGTTCTAAGTCTATTCACACTTTGGCGTTTTCTCCAGCAGCACCACATAACTCTGAGCCTGGAGAATTGAAATGAGGTCAGATCACAACAGGGCGTTCTCTCAGTTTCCTCACGCATAAATAAACAGCCGGGCATGAGAGAGAGAGAGAGAGAGAATATTACAACCAAAGGAGATTGGAAACAAAGTACGGTACAAGTAACAGACACACACCTAGAGTTAACATAAAAACTAACCTCATCAGTGTCATCAGGGAAGTACACTTTGTGAAAGATCTGGGTAGTTTTGTGCTGAATGGCTTCCACTTCTACAAGGTGAGGAGGATACTTTCTGGATCCATTTCTGTCCGTGAAGAGAAAAATGTTGGAAGGGAATCTATGCAACATTGGAGATGAGTGTTTGTTTGTGCTGTTAGAGTTACCGCAAGGCTTTCTGCAGTCTCTGCATGCAGTCTGGCGCGACTGGATGATGTTTCTTGGACTGCAGGAACTTTTGGACATGAGGAAGCAGCATGTTACTGGGAGGGAAAAGCCCAGTGCAGAGCCAGAGCAGCTCCCAGCCCTTCTCCTCACTGTATCTGAACACACAGAACAAGTAATGCTGACAAAATAAAGCAGCTAACCAGCATTTAAAAAGGCTAACCACTAGTGTTACAGATTTATCAGCCACATTAATTGTTTTCACAGTAATGGGTCTCATTCACTAAATGTATAACCTGTGAGTGAGCAAATATTTTCATGCTGAGTCAATTTATCAAGTATATTTAAGATAATATTAAATAAACATGCAAAATTCACT